GATCATAAAAGTCTTAAGTACCTATTTTCCCAAAAGGATTTGAATTTACGTCAAAGAAGGTGGATGAAATTTTTGGAGGATTATGATTTTGAATTACACTATCACCTCGGAAAAGCCTATGTGGTGGCTGATTCCTTGAGTATTGGCGACTAAAACATTAGTCGGTAAATGTATAATTTAAAAAAATATAATTGACTATTGGCCACCAATAATTTAGTAGCCAAACATTGGTAAAACATTGGTCGGTAAATGTATAATTTAAAAAAAATATAATTGACTATTGGCGACTAAAATATTGGTCGGTAAATGTATAATTTAAAAAATATAATTGACTATTGGCGACCAAAGTTTTGGTTGCTAAAGACTTGCTTTTTGGCGACTAAAAATTTTTTAGTCGCCAATACCTTTCCCAACCGTTTTCTGACGACCAAACCGGTGACTAAAAAATTTAGTCAGGGAATCTAAAAAACTGACTTTTTGCGACTAAAAATTGACTTTTGGCGACTAAAAATTTAGTCGCCAAATGTATTTTTTCTTGTAGTGACATTTATTACCATAAAATCAAATCATAAAACTACCTTAATCTATTTTTAAATTTTTAACCCACTTTGTTTATTTAATAACATTTTAAATATATAAAAAATTAAATCATAGATTAAACTAAACAGTCTAATTTATTACTATAAAATTACCTTATTTAATAATATTTTAAATTAAACATATGCATATATAAATTATAAATTAATCTAACTTCCTTAATTTATTATCATGAAAATACCTTAATTAATTATTAATTTTTACTTCATTTCTTTATTTAATAACATTTTAAATTATATATACAAACACGTTTTTTATTTATTTTATTTTATTTTATTTTTTTGTTGATTTCATTAATTTTGTTTCTACTCTGTTGTGCAATTTGTTAGGAACATTGCAATATCTACTACTAGTTGCCTCTGTTTTTTAAGATTTAATTTTAAATTTTATGATTTGATTTTATGGTAATAAAGGGTTTAGATTAATTTATGATTTAATTATATATATTTGTACATATAATTTTAAATGTTATTAAATAATAAATTAAGTTAAAAATTTAAACTTAAATTAAGGTAATTGTATGATAATAAATTAAGGAAGTTAGATTATTTTATAATTTAATTTGTTATACATATAAATATTCGTATGTTTAATTTAAAATATTATTAAATAATGTAATTTCATAGCAATAAATTTTTATTATTTAATTTGTTATGTATATGTTTATTTTAAAATATTATTAAATAAAAAAGTGGGTTAAAAATAAAAATTAGATTACGGTAATTTTATGATTTAAAAAAAAAAAAGAAGAGTAAACAATAAAACTAAAAAGAAAAAAGAAAAAAAGACAATCATCTAGCACAATATAATAGAAGAAAATAGAGTGGAAGACAAATTAAACAAATCAATATTTGATTAAATAAAATAAATAAGAGATAAAAGTGAATAAAATAAATAAATTAAACAAATCAATATTTTATTATTTAACACCCATTTAATAACATTGTCTTATATAGTGAGGTGTGAGGGCATTTTGGTTTTTTTGGGCAAATTATTTTTGGAGTAAAAACTGTCTAATGGAGCAATACTTGCAAATGAGATGCATGCAGCCCACTTGTCATTTGTTTGGAAGGAAAATGTAACAATTGCAGATTAGTCCAAAATCACAGGAGATTTTTTTGCATATATTCAAACCCTATGGGTCATCTGTAACAGACAAAAAAGATAGTGGGTTTAGTGCTTTTTACCCTTTTCTTAAAACCATCCGTTGCGAAAATGAGGATTATATTAACCAAACAAGCCATATCACACGTGAACCATGTATAAAGTTCTAAATTGTCTTGTGAATCTGCTATGGATCGATATATTGAGAATCAGTTATGATGTAATTTTTTTTAAATTATTAACCGTGAAAAAAATACTTAATAGTAATCGAACAAAATGTATTGGATGTAATTCGGGGTTTTGAATCCACTATGAATAGATACAGATTGTCAATCAGTCGACAAGCAAATATTTTTATTTCCACTAATGATGTATTGAGAGGCCACAAAATTGTATTAGCTAAAATGTCTAATCAACCAATTTTCAAAATCTTCTTTCTATATAAACATGTCTTTTTTTTCAATTGATCTCTTCTTTATGATTTTGATTCTCTCCATTGTATGAATAGAATCGGGATCTAGTTTTCATTTCAAATGGTTTCTAACACATCATATAAATACAAAT